AGAGAAAATTAGCTACTTAGCTATAAAAGCAGGCTTAATCCACCATTTTTCTGCAACAGGAAATGCCTGTACCAAGTCAGGAATATCAAGCTGTTTTCCATTCGTTTGATGTGTTTGTGCTTTTGATTTTGCCATTTGTTAAGGGAATTTCCGTTTTGAATTTTCCATGGAGTTCAGTGTTTTTAAATAATAGAGAACGAATAATTGTTCCTTTTGTCGTAAGTGTTTGTGTAGAGTTTCCCTTCTTAAACAGAAATAGATAAATCTGGAAAAGGACAGACATTGCTATTTATAACTGATATATTTAATGAAAGTAATGTTATGTCGGCAGTATATATATATTTAGAGAGGTCTTCATAATTTAACAACAAAGTATCCTCAAAGTAACGGTATGTTTTGTGTTTATCAATTGAATGGAATTAAGACATGTCTTTACTGAGCTTGGCCATCGCTGTTATACATAACAATGCAGGAAAACGTCTGCTGTTTTAAAGGGACACAATTAGTACTCACAGGAATATCTGCAACATATCGATATATGAAATGTACATACATGTCGTCAAGGCGAATATTTACAGCTTATATCATCTCAAGACACTTCCAATAAGTATAATTATCATATTTACCTTTCTTTTCTTTATAAGCATTGCGATGATAAATTTGCAATAATATTTTTCAAACGGCAATTTAATTAAATTGAAAAACTTTTGTTTCATATGATTGTGTTATGTATAGTAGAAAAGTAAAAACTGTCAACAGTTTGCTTCTTATTCTACAAATATGCGTATTATGTGACCTCAATGAACCAGCGACAATGTTTCCAATCAATATGTCGGTCCTTTTGCTGAAAGTTCTTAACGTTTGGGTCTTGAATGATGTTGAAGTCTACCGTAATAACATGATCATATATGAAACTCGATTATTGTCTGTTATTCAATGAACATTATTTCTATACACTGACGTCTAATGTTACTGACGTATAATCAAACATTACACTTCTACTGTGTGTTTTGTATTGATATTATCATGTAGACTGAGAGGATATGTAATCCCCAGTCGTTTAATCCATATGAAGGTTCACTCAGGTCGGTTCTCGTACCCTAGACCAACGCGTTGTTGTTGTTTCGCAAACCCTAGAGCAACGTATTGCTGTTGGTACGCGTACCAGATAGTTCACGTAGGCTAGTGTAACGCGTTACAGTTCAGTTAATTAGAGCAATGCGTTGCAACTTTTGCACGTTTGAAGTAGTTCACAGTATAAACGTTATCCCTTACATAAGTAAATAACTTGTGTTGTAAGAATTTAAATTTGTTTTAACATTTTCTTTTAATTTGCAATTTCAGATGAAGGACACAAATGTGAGGCGATTTCTAAATGATATTATTTGAAAATTGAGGACCTATGTCAGTGACGTAGTATATTTAGTCCCTATTAGTCAAGAAAGGTGTCATCAGTTCTTAAAAGGTTATTATCATATAGCAAGTAGATAGAAATAAGAAGATGTGGTATGAGTGCCAATGAGACAACTCTCAATCCAAGTCACAAAGAAATATATGCGTATTCTATTCAACAGTGTTGCATGGCCAGATAATTCTATTAGACCGTAGGAGGTTTTAGTACGGAACACGTACCCTACAGGAACGCGAATCACATTCTCTGTTTAGCATCAACAGGTTGTGTCTAGCGCACGCGAATAATGTGTAATGTGTTAGTATATTATACTAGAACTAACTGTTACATGTTGCTCTAGCTGTAGGGTGACGAATAAACTGCATCGCTTTTCTCTACCGAACATGTAAAAACTTGCATTGTGACCCGAATGACCCTTCATCATTCCAAGACTGTTCATAAATTTTAATGAAATTTTTAAAATGATTTTGTGATTGTCCATGTTGTTTCTAGATTATTTCGAGAAATTGGAATTTTATAAAATAAGAATTGTGATTGTGTGGTCTCCTAAATCATGGTAAAATCAAGCAGGCTTGTCATTTTTTGGCATTGCTTGGAAATATGTGTGGATATCAACGAGTATTTTTGTTTGATAATCTCGCTGCACAGGCATTGCCACCTTTGACACAATTTTGAAAAGTGCTGATACTACTACTGGAATTTCGATTGACGGCGGTTGGATTTTGTTAGGAATACATGTTTTTTTATGCATGTGAATATCCGTGAAAGAAAGGAGAAAGATACCATTTGGATAATCCAACTAATAAGTCAAAAACGAACCAACAACATCACGGCAAAAAACGAAAAACGACAAAAAGACAAACATCAACATACAAAACACAACATCGAAAACTTAAGACTGAGCAACACGAACCCCACCAAAAACCGGGGTGATATCAGGTGCTCTAGAAGGGTAAGCAAATCCTGATCCATATGTGGGACTCGTTTGAGTACAAATCCAGTGATAAGTCTAATTCGGTATGTTACATTTCAGAAAACGAGCTGAAGTTGCGGTATAATTAGAAAAAAAACATAAAAAAATACTGCACTCCAAGATAAAACTTATGATTATTATTAAATGATATTTGGAATATTTAATGAGGCAGAACGTCATACAATTGAATAAAGATTGGAATTACGGAATATATAAACAATAGATAGAGCTGACCAAGGACTCTAAAAAAGACTATAACAAACAGCTCGACAAAAAGACATTAATACAATATCATAGAAATATATATAACAAACACAGGCAAATACAGAATGGTTTAATAATTCTTAGTAAAACCATCTCATGGGAAAGGATAATACGCGGTAATAAATTTAAAGGATTTATATTTTAACTGAGGATGTATGCAGCTCCTCTGACAAGCAAACAATCCTAACTGTAAAATATAATGGCATATACTATAGTCACGGTAACACATTCTACTGCATCCACATATCACTTGTAATACACCTATCAGTCAATATGAAAATATGAAGATCTGGTAGTTTTACCAATGAAACAACTCTCCACCAGAATCAAATCAACTTAGAACTTAGCAATAGGTTGTAACTTTGTTCGCCAGACACGTGTTTCATCGTCAAAAGACCCATCCGATGCTCTCGAATCAAAAAAGGTCAAATCAAATACGAAGTTAAAGAGCATTAAAAATAAAATATTCATAAAACAGCTTGGGATATCTGTGCCTAAAGGTAGAGTCACCTTATTGATTCGAAAAAAAATTTGGCTCTATACCGCTGTTCCTTGACTATATGTCCTTGAGGGTATCAACAGATAAGTAGTGATTCGGTACTGACATGATTTGTCAATATCTTTTTTTTTACATTATCCTTTGATAAAATCAGAAAATATTAGAAAACTTAAGTTCCACTTCCTTATCGCCAAGTTGACCATAGATGTATTGAATGTGATAGCCTTCGCATGTTTCGGCACTTATACATCCATCTTATTTTTGGTCTTGCACTTTCCTGTTGAAAAGTGACCCAGAAAGACGCTTGGGTACATACATTTGAAGAATTTTTTTTTTTTCATTTCATAAACAGTTGGTTTACCGAAGATGAACGTATCATATTGAATGACATTTCCCATCAACACTTAAGTGATGACTTAACTGTGCTGTAGACTAAACTATCACGACCACTACAAAGGCATTCATTCGTATAAAATAACACTTAAACAAGTGGCTTTTTGGTTTGTTTTGTTTTTCTCATTCAAATATACATATCATTTTGTGAATGACATATAAATTACACGGTTGTTAACCATATATATACAAATATTTAAAATCCAAAAGCCTATCTCAATTACAAATTTAATCATTATGACAAATTGGATAACCACTAATACAAATTAATGTGCAAGTTTAATTCTTAAACTTGATTTTCTGTAATGTCTAACTGATAAAAGTTTTAAAGGAATAACAATAAAAAGTACTGAAATAGTATTTACCTGCACAGCATTTCTCCAAATAAATATTTTATTTACATAAATCAAATCGACGGTAAGCTGATATACTTGTGCACAGGTGACTATAAAGTCTCTTTACAGGTACAAAACAATTTGATTGAATGGGTTAAGTTAATCAAGTTGCTTATCTGAAGAACCATAACGAACTCATTCTTTGATTATATGTATTAGCAAAGACTATTAAATAAATATAACAGACATATAACAAACACAAGCAAATACAGAATGCTATAAAAATTCTTAGTAAAACCATAGCAGAGGTCAAAGATAATACACGAAAATAAATTTACAGAAATAAAACATTAATATAAGGAATTGTGCAATATTTACTTGGGGAGGGGCATGAACAGCAATTAGTGATTTTAAAACTCTTTGACCCGCTAATATTTAATATAAAACAAGTACTTGTTTCGTTTCAATTGATAGAGAAAAAAAATTGTTCTTGTCCCGCTATAATATAATCAGAAAGCTAATATATATCAAACCCGAAATGATATTTTTTTAACTAAAATGTGCATATGTACTTCAAATTAAATAAATGTATAAACATATTCTGATTGTATTCAGAACTAAGTTATAACTCTTTTAACCATTACTGGTCATCATATCACAACAAAATCACCAATAACAAACATTTGACCTGTATTTTTGATTATTTGATTATCTTGTTTTAAAAAATAATTAATGATTATGTGATTATATTGGCAAAAAATGTGTGGTTATGTGATTACTTGGACACCCCATGAGGGGCCTCGGCTATCAACTAAACTACCACGACGGTGACAATGTATAATTACAGTTATCTATAAACTAAAATTTAATCAATTGACTTTTGATTTGGTTTTTTTTTAATCTCATTTAGATATACATAAAACGTCATTTTGTGAATGACATATAAATTACACGGTTGTTAACCACATACTTATGCATGTGTATTTAAAATCATAAAGCCCATCCCATTTACAAACTTAAACATTACGACAAATTGGATTATCAACGAGACAAATTAATGTGATAGTTTAATTTCAAATCTTGATTTTCTGTAATGTCTAATTGATAATAGTTTTAAAGTAATAACAACTAATATCTTAAAAAACACTGAAATAGTATTTACCTGCACAGCATGTCTCCAAAAGTCAGCAGTTATTTACATAAATCAAATCTACGGTAAGCTGATATACATGTGCACAGGTCATAATAAATTGTCTAACAGGTACAAAATTATTCGGTAGAATGGGTTTCACTATGAATTTTATTATATTTTTCGGCAATCCGAAAAATAAAATGATATGAAGTATTCAAGATTTGTATATTGTTTTATTTCTAATTTGCCGTTCAACATTTTATTTTCACAATTTGTAAATTTATACAATTCCTATCAGCTCATCATACTATTGTGTTGTTCGAAAAATAACTTAATTTTTCGAAATTTCATATTAATTGATTTTTATCTTAATAGAAGTTATTTAACTGAAGAACCAACATGAAACCATGCATGGAAACTATTCTTGATAAAAGCCAGTTAGTAGATAATTTGAGCTTTCAAAACTTTATAATATCTTCTTTCATTCTTAGAATTTGTTTGTTATTACTTTTATTATTTATATTTTATTATAGGTTTATGTAGGATTTATTCCGATTTGATGTATTTAATAAATACCATGTTACATCCTCATAATTTGATAAATGCACCTTTTCCTTACTATTTGTTGACTTCGTGTTAAAATAGAGGTAAATGCAAAAACTTGTGCTTTGATTTCAGAAACTCGATTATTGTCTGTTATTCAATGAACATTATTTCTATACACTGACGTCTAATGTTACTGACGTATAATCAAACATTACACTTCTACTGTGTGTTTTGTATTGATATTATCATGTAGACTGAGAGGATATGTAATCCCCAGTCGTTTAATCCATATGAAGGTTCACTCAGGTCGGTTCTCGTACCCTAGACCAACGCGTTGTTGTTGTTTCGCAAACCCTAGAGCAACGTATTGCTGTTGGTTCGGGTGCAACGCGTACCAGATAGTTCACGTAGGCTAGTGTAACGCGTTACAGTTCAGTTAATTAGAGCAATGCGTTGCAACTTTTGCACGTTTGAAGTAGTTCACAGTATAAACGTTATCTCTTACATAAGTAAATAACTTGTGTTGTAAGAATTTAAATTTGTTTTAACATTTTCTTTTAATTTGCAATTTCAGATGAAGGACACAAATGTGAGGCGATTTCTAAATGATATTATTTGAAAATTGAGGACCTATGTCAGTGACGTAGTATATTTAGTCCCTATTAGTCAAGAAAGGTGTCATCAGTTCTTAAAAGGTTATTATCATATAGCAAGTAGATAGAAATAAGAAGATGTGGTATGAGTGCCAATGAGACAACTCTCAATCCAAGTCACAAAGAAATATATGCGTATTCTATTCAACAGTGTTGCATGGCCAGATAATTCTATTAGACCGTAGGAGGTTTTAGTACGGAACACGTACCCTACAGGAACGCGAATCACATTCTCTGTTTAGCATCAACAGGTTGTGTCTAGCGCACGCGAATAATGTGTAATGTGTTAGTATATTATACTAGAACTAACTGTTACATGTTGCTCTAGCTGTAGGGTGACGAATAAACTGCATCGCTTTTCTCTACCGAACATGTAAAAACTTGCATTGTGACCCGAATGACCCTTCATCATTCCAAGACTGTTCATAAATTTTAATGAAATTTTTAAAATGATTTTGTGATTGTCCATGTTGTTTCTAGATTATTTCGAGAAATTGGAATTTTATAAAATAAGAATTGTGATTGTGTGGTCTCCTAAATCATGGTAAAATCAAGCAGGCTTGTTATTTTTTGGCATTGCTTGGAAATATGTGTGGATATCAACGAGTATTTTTGTTTGATAATCTCGCTGCACAGGCATTGCCACCTTTGACACAATTTTGAAAAGTGCTGATACTACTACTGGAATTTCGATTGACGGCGGTTGGATTTTGTTAGGAATACATGTTTTTTTATGCATGTGAATATCCGTGAAAGAAAGGAGAAAGATACCATTTGGATAATCCAACTAATAAGTCAAAAACGAACCAACAACATCACGGCAAAAAACGAAAAACGACAAAAAGACAAACATCAACATACAAAACACAACATCGAAAACTTACGACTGAGCAACACGAACCCCACCAAAAACCGGGGTGATATCAGGTGCTCTAGAAGGGTAAGCAAATCCTGATCCATATGTGGGACTCGTTTGAGTACAAATCCAGTGATAAGTCTAATTCGGTATGTTACATTTCAGAAAACGAGCTGAAGTTGCGGTATAATTAGAAAAAAAACATAAAAAAATACTGCACTCCAAGATAAAACTTATGATTATTATTAAAAGATATTTGGAATATTTAATGAGGCAGAACGTCATACAATTGAATAAAGATTGGAATTACGGAATATATAAACAATAGATAGAGCTGACCAAGGACTCTAAAAAAGACTATAACAAACAGCTCGACAAAAAGACATTAATACAATATCATAGAAATATATATAACAAACACAGGCAAATACAGAATGGTTTAATAATTCTTAGTAAAACCATCTCATGGGAAAGGATAATACGCGGTAATAAATTTAAAGGATTTATATTTTAACTGAGGATGTATGCAGCTCCTCTGACAAGCAAACAATCCTAACTGTAAAATATAATGGCATATACTATAGTCACGGTAACACATTCTACTGCATCCACATATCACTTGTAATACACCTATCAGTCAATATGAAAATATGAAGATCTGGTAGTTTTACCAATGAAACAACTCTCCACCAGAATCAAATCAACTTAGAACTTAGCAATAGGTTGTAACTTTGTTCGCCAGACACGTGTTTCATCGTCAAAAGACCCATCCGATGCTCTCGAATCAAAAAAGGTCAAATCAAATACGAAGTTAAAGAGCATTAAAAATAAAATATTCATAAAACAGCTTGGGATATCTGTGCCTAAAGGTAGAGTCACCTTATTGATTCGAAAAAATTTTGGCTCTATACCGCTGTTCTTTGACTATATGTCCTTGAGGGTATCAACAGATAAGTAGTGATTCGGTACTGACATGATTTGTCAATATCTTTTTTTTTACATTATCCTTTGATAAAATCAGAAAATATTAGAAAACTTAAGTTCCACTTCCTTATCGCCAAGTTGACCATAGATGTATTGAATGTGATAGCCTTCGCATGTTTCGGCACTTATACATCCATCTTATTTTTGGTCTTGAACTTTCCTGTTGAAAAGTGACCCAGAAAGACGCTTGGGTACATACATTTGAAGAATTTTTTTTTTTCATTTCATAAACAGTTGGTTTACCGAAGATGAACGTATCATATTGAATGACATTTCCCATCAACACTTAAGTGATGACTTAACTGTGCTGTAGACTAAACTATCACGACGACTACAAAGGCATTCATTCGTATAAAATAACACTTAAACAAGTGGCTTTTTGGTTTGTTTTGTTTTTCTCATTCAAATATACATATCATTTTGTGAATGACATATAAATTACACGGTTGTTAACCATATATATATACAAATATTTAAAATCCAAAAGCCTATCTCAATTACAAATTTAATCATTATGACAAATTGGATAACCACTAATACAAATTAATGTGCAAGTTTAATTCTTAAACTTGATTTTCTGTAATGTCTAACTGATAAAAGTTTTAAAGGAATAACAATAAAAAGTACTGAAATAGTATTTACCTGCACAGCATTTCTCCAAATAAGCAGTTATTTGCATAAATCAAATCGACGGTAAGCTGATATACTTGTGCACAGGTGACTATAAAGTCTCTTTACAGGTACAAAACAATTTTGATTGAATGGGTTAAGTTAATCAAGTTGCTTATCTGAAGAACCATAACGAACTCATTCTTTGATTATATGTATTAGCAAAGACTATTAAATAAATATAACAGACATATAACAAACACAAGCAAATACAGAATGCTATAAAAATTCTTAGTAAAACCATAGCAGAGGTCAAAGATAATACACGAAAATAAATTTACAGAAATAAAACATTAATATAAGGAATTGTGCAATATTTACTTGGGGAGGGGCATGTACAGCAATTAGTGATTTTAAAACTCTTTGACCCGCTAATATTTAATATAAAACAAGTACTTGTTTCGTTTCAATTGATAGAGAAAAAAAAATTGTTCTTGTCCCGCTATAATATAATCAGAAAGCTAATATATATCAAACCCGAAATGATATTTTTTTAACTACAATGTGCATATGTACTTCAAATTAAATAAATGTATAAACATATTCTAATTGTATTCAGAACTAAGTTATAACTCTTTTAACCATTACTGGTCATCATATCACAACAAAATCACCAATAACAAACATTTGACCTGTATTTTTGATTATTTGATTATCTTGTTTTAAAAAATAATTAATGATTATGTGATTATATTGGCAAAACATTTGTGGTTATGTGATTACTTGGACACCCCATGAGGGGCATCGGCTATCAACTAAACTACCACGACGGTGACAATGTATAATTACAGTTATCTATCAACTAAAATTTAATCAATTGACTTTTGATTTGGTTTTTTTTTTAATCTCATTTAGATATACATAAAACGTCATTTTGTGAATGACATATACATTACACGGTTGTTAACCACATACTTATGCATGTGTATTTAAAATCATAAAGCCCATCCCATTTACAAACTTAATCATTACGACAAATTGGATTATCAACGAGACAAATTAATGTGATAGTTTAATTTCAAATCTTGATTTTCTGTAATGTCTAATTGATAATAGTTTTAAAGTAATAACAACTAATATCTTAAAAAACACTGAAATAGTATTTACCTGCACAGCATGTCTCCAAAAGTCAGCAGTTATTTACTAAATCAAATCTACGGTAAGCTGATATACATGTGCACAGGTCATAATAAATTGTCTAACAGGTACAAAATTATTCGGTAGAATGGGTTTCACTATGAATTTTATTATATTTTTCGGCAATCCGAAAAATAAAATGATATGAAGTATTCAAGATTTGTATATTGTTTTATTTCTAATTTGCCGTTCAACATTTTATTTTCACAATTTGTAAATTTATACAATTCCTATCAGCTCATCATACTATTGTGTTGTTCGAAAAATAACTTAATTTTTCGAAATTTCATATTAATTGATTTTTATCTTAATAGAAGTTATTTAACTGAAGAACCAACATGAAACCATGCATGGAAACTATTCTTGATAAAAGCCAGTTAGTAGATAATTTGAGCTTTCAAAACTTTATAATATCTTCTTTCATTCTTAGAATTTGTTTGTTATTAATTTTATTATTTATATTTTATTATAGGTTTGTGTAGGATTTATTCCGATTTGATGTATTTAATAAATACCATGTTACATCCTCATAATTTGATAAATGCACCTTTTCCTTACTTTTTGTTGACTTCGTGTTAAAATAGAGGTAAATGCAAAAACTTGTGCTTTGATTTCAGAAACTGTAGAAAGGGGCGGAAGATACCAAGAAGACGTTCAAAACTCATGAATCGAACACAAGCTAAGCAACACAAAACCCACTAACAACTGGACATCACAAAATTCGTAAACATTCTGTTATGTTATTTTTCAAACCTTAACCTTGGCTAGACGAGAACTTTTAAAATTGAGAAAAGTTTTTCAGGACAAATGTTATACAAGACTGTTACTAGTAGAAATAGCACATACATTAAGATGATAAAAACGCACACAAAGTACAACACTTAGATATAAGACAAGAGCAGTAAGAGCCCATTTTATATATTAAAAATGTTTGCTTCTTGTGTAAATTTTATTATTTTCTCATGGTTATTTCATCAAACAGAACGAGAAAATTATTGAAAGTCCAATTATTGCTCGTCATCCAGAAAAAGATCTTTTGATCACACGTGTGTCGAGTTAGAATGCACATCTTCTAATATGTTGATCGTCTTAACAAAAGATTACGCCAATCCTCATTTTGGTGTTATAAGAAAAAAAAAACAAGATATTAATTGATATTCTTTGAACTTTGCTAACAGAATGTGGATCCTCTGACCTAAAGATTCGAACATCTTTGAATCTTTTTAACCGTGTTTAACCGATACCAATATCTTGTTTTAGATTTTTCTTAAAAGGTGGCTTTTGTTATCTTACTTTTCTCTTGAAAACAAAAGGGATTAAAAACAAAATATTGAGCACATATTGCTTTTTTTACTTTTATTAACTTCGAACAGTTTACGGACGCCATTACGACTTGGTTGACGTTATGAAATATCTGCTTCATAGACGATGGTTGTTATGATCCAATTGTCGTTACCACAATTCCGTCCTCTTTTCCTCGAATTTGACAGCACCGAATGTGTTCTTTAATGAGTAGCACAACAGAACCACATGTGGACCAATATTTTCTTCTTTTACAAATTCCAAAGTTTATTTTTATTATTTTTGTTGGCTGTCAAATGATATGACCTTTTTGGATAAAGTAAAAAAAAAATAGACTTTTCATTTGCGATTAAATTCAGTAATCAACTTTAAAAATTTTGTTAACTTCAGAACCATCTCTATTATATATTGTTCTTACAGATTACAGTGGTTTTGTCATATGGGCTCATTGTTGTCAAATTCTACGTTTTTAATGAGTTGATGAAATTTATATGAGTTTTGCAAATGGAATGAACTGCAGATAGTCAACATCAAACCTTTTTCAAAACACTTGGCATTTTCATGAGATTTGACAGTCAACTCAACTGTATACTGGTCTGACAATCTGCAACCTTTTCACTTCATTTATTCATTGCTTTTTTTTCTTATCTTACTTTCCTCTGGATTAAAAACAAAATATTGAGCACATATTGCTTTTAATACTTCTATTGACTTCGAAGAGTTTACGGACGCCATTATGACGGTTGACGTTATGGAATATCTGCTTCATAGATGATGGTTGTAATGATCCAATTGTCGTAACCACAATTCATTCCTCTTTTCCTCGAATTTGACAGCACGGAATGTGTTCTTAAATGAGTAGCACAACAGAACCACATGTGGACTAAGATCTACTTACCTTACCGAAGCATCCTTAATCATCAAGGTGTATGGTAGGGTTCGTGTTGCTCAGTCTTTCAACACGAACCCTACACAGTTTTTCAAGCGCGATCACTACGACAACATAAACACATCAAAATTTACATATTTGACCTGAAATGGCAATTTTACCCCTAGTGTTTGGTCAAAATATATATGAGCAATAGCTTTACAAAAACAAAAACCAATATTTTACACACATAATTAACATCTTTGTAAATTATATTTTGTAGGAAAATATTGTTTTTGTGTAAAGGTGTTGCTCGTGTCTAAATAATCTTGACAATATCTTAAAATGGGCAAATTTTGTAAGTTTTTGCTGTTATTTACGGTGGCAGAATGCGGCCATGAAAGAAAAAAAAATATGTTGTTCCCTCAAGATAGTTATCTCATTCCCTCAAGATAGTTATCTAGTTCCCTCAAGATGCTATCTCATTCCCTCAAGATGTTATGTCGTTTCCACAAGATAGTTATCTCGTTCCCTCAAGATGCCATGACGTTTCCACAAGAAACTACGGTGGCAGAATGCGGCCATGAAAGAAAAAAAAATATGTTGTTTCCTCAAGTTACTATGTCGTTCCCTCAAGATGCTATGTCGTTTCCACAAAATAGTTATCTCGTTCCCTCAAGATGCTATGTAGTTTCCACAAGATAGTTATCTCGTTCCCACAGGATACTATGTCATTCCCTCAAGATATTAAGCCGTTCCCTCAAGATATTATGTCGTTCCCACAAGATAGTTATCTCGTTCATAATATCATGAGGGAACGACACAATATCTTGAGGGAACGACATATTATCTTGAGGGAATGAGATAACTATCTTGAGGGAACAACATAACATCTTGAGGGAACGACATAGAATCTTGAAGGAACGAGATAACTATCTTGTGGAAACGTCATAGCATCTTTAGGGAACGAGATAACTATCTTGTGGAAACGACATAACATCTTGAGGGAATGAGATAGCATCTTGAGGGAACTAGATAACTAACTTGAGGGAATGAGATAACTATCTTGAGGGAACAACTAATTTTTTTTCTTTCATGGCCGCATTCTGCCACCGTAATACGAAGATCGTTAAGATAAAACTTCAGATGAATCTTTTTTTATGGGAAGACGTATATAATCTGTATATATGCTATACTACTTCAACGATTACACAACCTTGGTTTTTTTTGTAAAACAAATCTCTCTTACTTCACTCTCCATTTGATTTATTCCTAAATGATAAATTTAGAGTATATATTTAGAATCATGCAATATGTATACTAAATTTAAAATCAATGGGAAAACCACGGGCAAAGTTCATTTTCATATTTCGTTTTAGCACGCACTTGTGTGGTTAAGTGATGACAAAAGATACACATCAGGTTAAATCCAAAGACAATATGGTGTGATTTACGGTCTTCACGATGTAACGCAAAGGACTAATATGGTGTGATTTAAATTGTTTTACGACGTTTGTCTATAGGGTTTATAAAAATGATCATTTACTATCTCATTCAACAAATGTATACCTTCACACAAACAGGTGTTTAAAGTGAACTGTCAATTGCATAATCTGAAAACTAATTTTAAATTGTAAATATTATACTTAAATCATATGGAGATGGCAAAGAACATATAATTAAATCTAATTTACAGGTTCACTGATTGCCAGATCGTTGGGAAAAGCATGAGACTAGGTGCACTCAAACGACACATTTTTTTTCAATTATGCACATTAAATCCAATGATTTTGGAAATCGAAATCTGCATATAAAAAAAACTATTGAATCCGACAATGCTTTTATGAAATCTTGAATAGTTCTTTTTTTACTGGGAGCTGGAGTGTGGTGGGTGGTAAAGAATAAACACGTACGGTTAAATGGTAATACGTACCCAAAAATGATTAAAGATTTTCCATATTTAAAAAAACTCCTTATAGATACCAGGATATCAATTCTATAATATATCATTTCAAAAAAAAATATTAAGTAATATAAAATTAGGAGAGTATTGTAAGCTTTCAAGGTCCCGGGTTGGAAAGAAATTTAAAAGACAAAATCGTCGATGGAAAATTTTTGATTACTCAAAAAGGAAAACCAACACCACCCACAGAATTATAATATGCGTGATTGATGTAACAATTCAATAATTGAAAGAAATAAAAACACGCCGAACTCGTCAGATTTGAAGTAAGCACAAAACAACTAATATTAAGAAATGGTACAATATGTATCGATCTTAAAGTACTCACAAGTACATGTACATGTACGTAAAGGGTAAATTAAGAATTTTCTCATTCAGTCAGGTTTTATGGTTAGATGATTTACATAACAAATGGTATACCGATTTTGCGATTTCTCAGGGCAAGATAAGAGTCAATTACCCTACCCTCTACTGAGTGATGTCTAAACGCTTTATCTAACTTATCAACACATAAAATAGCAGTAAAACGACAGGATCACAACTGAAGCAGTGCATTGTAGACTTGTTTGTTTTTCTGTCGTGGTTCGTTTTTCCCCATGATTTTCGCTGTCTCGGTTGAACTTGTAAGTTTTGATTTATCCCTTTGATATCTTCCGATTCTTTTTTAAGTTAGCTCAAAGTCAAATTTCAACTAATCATAACTTGACTATGCGGTGTTGACTTTTCTTATTATTGAAGACCGTACGGTGACCAATAGTTGTTAATTTCTGTGTCATTTGGTCTCTTGTGGAGAGTTGTCTCATTTGCAATTATACCACATCTTCTTATTTTTATATAAACCATGTTCATTCATACCAAAATGTCAATAAGTAAATCCCAAGTGTTATGACGGCATTATAAGTCGGAGAAAGGCTTGACATTGTGCACAGCAAGAAATATACGTATCATGTATCGACAGGATGTCAAAACAAAAGTGTTAATACCTAAAAAGCAATACATATTTAAGTTATGTATTAAACTATCAAAACTCAAAGCATTGTTTGTACTGATTACATTATTGTTCAATTTAATTAAAATTAAGGACATGTAATATAATTGCCAAATGGAACAACTATCTACCAGAGTTAAAATAAGTGGATATAAGCAATTATTGGCAACCGTACGGAATTCAACAATGAGAAAAAAAACCATATAGTATAGTCAGTTATAAACTTTTTGGAATTTTGGGTCCTCAATGCTCTTCAACTTTGTACTTGTTTGGCTTCATAACTATTTTGATCTGAGCGTCACTGATGAGTCTTTGTAGACGAAACGCGCGTCTGGCGTATTAAATTATAATCCTGGTACCTTTGATAATTTATTATAAAAGACTCGACATGAAAAATGTGAATCAATTCAAACCAGAAACCAACCAAAACAGTGTCATTTATAACAAAACAATTTACGAAAAACAAATATGAAAGACATTAACCAACGACGACCACCGAACTACAGGCTTCTGACAGTCACATAAATAATGTGGCGGTGTTAAACATGTTTGTGAGCACGGAATCCCCATCATATCTTGGGACTGTGGTGTCACAGCAAAACATAAAAATCAGTTGCAATTGTCTGCCCTAAAAAGATCGGTACGACTCATAAAAACTACTTAAGTATTTTTTTTCAGCCGTGTTAATTTTAGAAAAATATGATTTCAACCGCAAACGTTTAGCATACTGATCTATGTCCTCTTATTGCTGGATGTATTGATTTGAACAGGAAAGAATTTTAATTTGAACTGTTTCCTTAGAATTGTTTTCTTTGACAATTCAGATTTATTTCAAAC